TTTCTTCGCTCTGTTTGATACAAGAGGCGCAGCAAGAATTTGCTTCGGCCAGATCGGCAGAGGAGATATCAGCGTTTTCATCCATCGCATCTCCATTCTCAATAGTAATTTCTCTGCAGTCTTCGTTCAATTGCTTGTTGTTTTGGCGACAACTGTCCGATATAAGTTCAATCACACTCGGTTCTGCTTCGGTGGCTTTAATTTCGAGAGAATATGCTTTCAACGAAGCGTGCACGCCTTGGTTTAAGTGCGAAAATTATCCGTTTGGTCACTTCCTCGCCGTTTTCGCCCTCAAAATAAATATTCTGACTCTTTGTTTGCCAGGTAACACACAGTGCCTTACTGTCGAATTTCCACGTACCACCGCCAGGCGATCGCCAGGTTGTAGTTTCAGCTGTTTGTTCGTCCACTACAGTGAGCACGACGGCTTTCAGATCTTCCAACGAACCAGCCCATTTAAGTTTGTTCTTCTTATAGCAGAAATGGCTGTACAAAATGTTTACAGCATTTAAGGAGCTTTCTATATTCAATTCACAATGTCTGGAATCATCACTTTCCACAAAACGTGATAAAGATTCGGCCAATTTTTCAGAGCTCAAGTCTACACGTCCGTTCTCCATGACGTGCTGGTTCTTCTGAACGAGCAGAGAAAGAGCAGAGAAATGATCTATATGAAGTACTACAGAATCCTCAACAGGTAAGTAATGCGGGCGCGTATGAAGTCATAGCATAATTAACAATAGACAAAGTAATATATAGAAGGGTTGAAACACTGGTCACATGATTTTTTAAAATGCTTTAACCGTTTCGACATATATATAATTTGATTATTTTACAACGTATTTAGCATATATCAAAGATATCTAGTAAAGAAATAACACAGAAATGATTTTTAACAGCAAGAAATAACTGAGAAATGATTTTTAACAGCAAGTTCTTCGCAATTTTCGCGATATGTCTACCAAGAGTAGCCTATCCAGTCGGATGAAGTTCGGCACTCGTGAGATGCTAGGATTTGCATTCAGATTTTAAAAATAGCGTTTGTTGGCGCCGGTATAGACTATAGTTTCAATATTAAGGTTTTAAAAATGTAAATCACATCAGAAATTGCTCTATAAAATCAAAAATAGCTTTGAGAATTGAGATACATTTCTGAACTGCGTCGGAAATCTCCGAGTGGATAGGCTACTCATGGTAAACATCGAACGATCACGTGACCAGTGTTTCATCCCTTCTATTATTAATTTATCTATTATTAAAGATACTATTACCTCATACGCGCCCACATTACTTACCTGTTGAGGATTCTATAATGCTTAATATAGATAATATTTTCTGCTCCTTCTCTGCATGTTGACATTCCAGCGAAGAATTTCATAAGTAAGTTTATTACTTTGATTATTTTACACTTGTTACTGACAGTAGTTGAACCCCTTGTGATCTGATGTAGTAATTATGCTATAAATAATTTCCAGACTTGAATGTTGATTTTACAAATAAACAGACAGGCTCAAATGAGTGGATAGATAAATTGAATTGGATATAAGTGAAGGTTATGAAAGGAGGAGCAAACTTGACAAGAGCGAAATGTGGGTGTATTTCGTTTCTTGGGGGGGTGAATAGGTTTTCGGATCGTCGGATTTCACAGAAAAAATTGTTTGGATTTCGGATCTGGCGAATATTTTACACGGATTTGCGGATCTTATTAATACAGCGGATTGCGGATTTATCTAATATTTTGGCTCGGATTGTGGATTTAGCTTGCAATTTAGTTCGGATCCTGGATTGTGATTTCATAGTAGAGCTTTTAGTGGATTCAAATTTAGACAAGACCATTGTCGATTCGCGGATTTTTCTTCAAATTTGGGCGGATCGGCGGATTTGCATACCTCTATCCCCCCCATTTCTTGATATGTTGTCGGCAGTCCCTCAGTCCCCCTCCACGCCGGGGGAATCTAAACCCTCGGAAAGGTTTTTGTTTTCTGGAAGTATCTTTCTGCCCCATTTGTTTTCCGTAAGTAAATTTTAATTGCAGGGTTTTTACGGTTGGGAAGGTAACTTCTGGTTGGGAAGTAACCAGAAGTTTATTCGAGTTGAACTTTTATTGGCCAATCAGAGATTCATATCAAAATTTGGTATGAAACTTTTGTCGGCACATACAGTTCAACAAACTTTTTTATCAGGCCCTAGTTTCCAATTTATAGGGCCTGATCGCAGGTTACAGCAACATCTAAGAAAGTGTATTCAGTAGACAAACGGTTAAACTTACCTAAAAACTGTATTTTGCCGTTGACTAATTTTCCATAAGATTTATATTGCGAGCAACTTGGCATCGTTACGTTGTGAAGTAATTTCATCATAGATGGATGGAATGGATCAATGTCTGGTATCTCACAAGCAAGGTCTGACTTTTTATCTTTCTCTTCTGATTCGAGCGATGCCGCACATTCTCTCTACATTGAAGTGGAAAAAGCGGTTGAATGTTAGTTACGTTCATTGACTCTTCAGTTCTTAGATGCAGCTGATTGCAGGCCGCATTCATGTGGTCGTGATGGTCGCGGCCATGCATGATGGGCTGATGGCCCTTTTTACAAACGTCACAGCAATGTGAATGGCACAATTGTTTTGCTCAGTGTTATAGTATAAAGGGCCAACAGAGTGTCGAAATAGGTTCTGCAATAGTGCAATCATTTAAAAAAGTCATAGTAGCAAGTATTTCTTTTCGGGAGTTGAACTTTTCTGATCATGGTTTAACCATGACAGTTGTCTTCATCTTTAAAGAGTTCAAAATTTTGTCTAGCCTCCTCCGCAGGCATCTCACCTGAATCGGGTGGTCGGAAAAACCAGAAATGTATTCTTTAAACCCATTCGCAGGCTAAAACACATAGCGAAGCCTGCGGAGGAGGCTAAATTTTGTCGTCTCTTTGAAATGTTTTACAATCTTCAAGAACAGAATTTCCTGGTCATGTAAGTCATGTATGTATCTATGTAAAAGGTAGAATTTCGTGTTTTGCGCATGCGGCCGGGGAATTTTAAAATAGTTTGTTTTCAAAAATGGCTTCCTATAATATACAGTCACCTATACCCGAGACAATCAGTATAAGAATAAATGTATACCTTTGAATCAAGTATTGTCCTGCTTATCCATTCATCCGGGCCAATTGTTATATCTTTAGAAACTGTTAACAATGGTATCTAGAAAAGAATTGTTTTCAGTTTCTGGAAAATTAACTTATAATTATATAATATAGCTATTTAAAAATTAAATGACCACCAACTTGTATATACGAACAGGTTTTGTGACTGGTTGATTATAGCAATACTAGAAATACATGCATGCAACAACATGAATTACGCCAACACTGATCGCAGGCTCGCGTTATCCGCGTCTTGTTAGCCTTGGCAACACGATCACTGTTTTCTATTTAACTTACAAAACAGAACAAAATAAATGGAAGTTCAACAATTTTAGCTATAGTAGAACTAACAATATCTAAAATATATAAAGTAAGACAATTTAGTGTGTTATTTTGCATCTATGGGCTTATTTTAACTGTAAAATTCAACGGGAAACTCTTCGTAAAACCCAAAGATCGCGCGTTCGATTCCCACCGTGGTCATGCAGGCAAACGTTTCAGCTTGCCCGGTGTGGATGCACACTCAGAGTAACATCACAAACATCATATTCACCTGAGTACATAACACCAACACACACAAAAAGTATCTTCGTAAAACGTTTTAATTAAATGTTCATTGAAATTAACAGTTTTCAGGAAAGCTGTGCATGTTTTCCTGAGCAACATAGTCATGTACTATTTAAACTTGGCGCGTAGGTGTGAATATAGCCAAGCGGAATTAATTGGTACCCTCGCTTCGCACCGTTGGTTCGGACAAAACACAACTGACTGATAAAACAAGACTAAATTTTCTAAAGGACGCATCACAAAGGCTGATTGCTTTTGTTAAGACAAGGACGCATCACAAAGGCTGATTGCTTTTGTTTAACCAAGCAATTCACAAAACATGTTCTTTTGCTCATCAGTTCCAGTTCGAAATTAACGTCTTATTAAACTGCTCTAATATGGCCGGCCAAACCCTGAGTATATTTTGAGTACAGGCTTACTGAATTATTGTCATTATTTGAAATATCTTCTGTCTTGTCGTTTTGTTCTTCGGTCTAAATCAACGAGAATATGAGTAAGCTTAAAATCATAGGAATTTACAATAAACCTATAGCTGGCAAACTGTTTTCATATATAAGACTAGATTGCTCAATCTGCTTTAAACCTAACTTGTCAAAAACGATAGAATCCATATCCGTTCCTATCTATGTTTTAGTAACTAACTCGTACTGCGAATGTTGAGTAAAACAGATAATGCATATCCGCCCACATGCAGCGAATCAAAATTTTGAGTAAGATTATGTCACTCTTTAAAGTGAAGTAAAATAGATTTGCTCATAAATTTGTCGTAATTTTACTCAAAATTTTGAATACATAATTTCGTTCATGTTTTTTGAGGGGGTTTTTGGTGGTCACGCAGATATTTTGCTTAGGTAAATTCTACGTTTTGAAGGATTTATAGGAGATGTTTCAGGGAACTGATACTGATGCAAACTCTCGCTTCTCAACTCTCAGCCACGTTTTACCAGGACTTTATAGTTTACCAGTCAAAAGAGAGAACTCAGTAAGTCGTCAACTCTCGTCAACTATCATTAATAGTATCATCCCCATTATTTTGACCCCAGGACTTTTCTTAAGTTTTTTGTCAAAATGTTTTGCAGCTAGTGTATTCAGTGTGCGATATAGTTATAGAGAAGACCACATCCAGTTACCTTCATTCCCAAATGATTTGCTTTTTCGTACACGATATGACATCTCTGTCTTTGGAACAAATACGCTTTTATAAGAATCGTGATAGCCAACAGTCCGACTCCTGCGAGCGGTACCAGCAATCGGCGTCTCAAAAATTTCAGCCTCATTTATATAACAGTGTCGGTCTTCTCAGTATAAACAAGTACAACTGTAAGATGAAAATATTTTCGGCTTAACATTTTTGTTTTCGCTGATAAAACTAGAAATATTTATGAAAAACCGTTCTACACATATGGCAAGCTTATATAATATTATGCATGCACGACAACATAACAAAAACATATAAACACGGATCAGAGTACACCATTTCGCGGATTGATGATGAACTGAAAGACATTTCAAACACACTGGAGATTGGCAACCGTTATGAATAAATGAAGAAACGCGAAGCATTTATTTCACTTAAAGACCGTAAAGAAAATTTCGAACCTAAAATGCCGACTAATTAATCCTGCTAAAAGTAAATCTGGAAAACTAAGTAAAGTAATTCTTGACAAAATCAATTCTAATTTGAGAGACGTGAATTATCAATGGAGATCAGTGGAGAAACACACAAAAAGTAATTGAATGGTTTGGCAACATAAAGGAAAAACACATGCATTTCTGAAAACAATAAAACTTATCTGAGTGCAATTGCTTTTATTAATGATTTAAGCACGTTAGGTGAAAGAACAGCCCGAAAATAATTAAAACACACACCAAATCATTGTGGGAGAATGGGTTCTGAGGGTGAAGACTCAAGTGAACCAATTATATACATCAGTTATACTTTCAAACTCTGGTCAAACCAAAGACTCATTGAGGCTTATGTTTTCATCCCGCAGGCAGGGCCGTAGCTAGAACGATAATTCGGGGGGGGGGGTATATTCATATATTCGTGTTCTGCACGACGGACTTCTTTTTAACCCAATTATTGTGTCTAGCTACGGCCCTGCCCGCAGGGGTATACAGGGTGTATCAAAATAAACGCAATTCATTTTTTGTGCTTAATAACTTTCGAAATACTATTTCTAGTTAAACGCTTTTAGGCTTACTTCAAAGCCTATTCTTTTCTCTTTCAAACAAACTATTATCCTTGTCTCCAATGCTAGTAATAATTGCACAAGAAAAGATTTAGTAAAACCTATCATTTTTAGTTGCTGTTTAATTATGCAAGTTTACTATGTTATTGTTTAGTCGGTTTAAATGTTAGAATTTTCTTCTTTAAACTTTAATGTTGTCGTCACTACATCTGGAAAACCACGTAAGAACAAATTAAAGGTATTTTAAAAAAGACCAGGTTGTTTGAAAATCCTAAACGAATGCTAAAAATCGTCAAAGCATTCTGGTGTCTGAGCCAGAGTGTCATCGAATTGCGATGTAATGTAAACAGAAATTATAGCAAGTTGATGTCAGTCAGCTTAGATGGTCCAAGCCAAAATTATATCGCATTTGAAGTTTCAAACTGAGTTAAAAATAGTGGAAGAAAAGCCGTAATTATACTTATTGTTACAATCCATTTAATAAAATGCTACATTTTTTTGTTTCAATGAAAAAATCAGTTATCTTCATGAGAACGATTTGTTATTCCATCTCAATTTTTTTAATCTCCAATCGCAATAACGTAAAGTATTATTATCCGCGAACCAATGAGTCAAATTTAAGAAACAACCCACTGTTAGAAAGCTGAATGGCTACGCTTTAAAATGAATGTAAACTTTAACGTTTTCATCTATTATTTGTTTAGCAATTTACATTTCAGTCGAGGATTGCGCTTTTTTTTATACACCCTGTATATAAGACCTGCTAGGAGAGACTGAATGCCCTGGGGGGGGGGGGGGTAATCCCCGATAGGGCCTTGCCAGACTGGTAGCGACCCCTTCTGACATAAACCTGAACCAAGGGGAGATAGTCACCTTGGACAGTACCTACGATAACGATTCGACTCAGGGGCGGACATATCGATTTTGACTGGGAGGGTGTAATCACGAAATGAGACCGACCCACTGCTGAAATGTGAATCCAGACCGACTCTTGGTGAGTTGGTCTGGATTCACATCAGCAGTCCACACTGTCCACACTGTGAGCAGTCCACACTGTCCACACTGTCCACACTTAGTTAGAAAAGTCCACACAGTCCACACTGTCCACACTTAGATAGAACAGTCCACAGTCCACACTGTCCACACTGTCCACACTTAGTTAGAAAAGTCCACACAGTCCACACTTAGATAGAACAGTCCACAGTCCACAGTCCACACTGTCCACAATTAGTTTGAAAAGTCCACAGTCCACACTGTCCACACTTAGTTATAAAAGTCCACAGTCCACACTGTCCGCACTTAGTTATAAAAGTCCACACTGTCCACACAGTCCACACTGTCCACACTTAGACAGAACAGTCCACAGTCCACACTGTCCACAGTTAGTTTGAAAAGTCCACAGTCCACACTGTCCACACTTAGTTAGAAAAGTCCACAGTCCACACTGTCCGCACTTAGTTATAAAAGTCCATAGTCCACACTGTCCACACTTAGTTAGAAAAGTCCACACAGTCCACACTGTCCACACTTAGTTAGAAAAGTCCACAGTCCACACTGTCCACACTTAGTTATAAAAGTCCACAGTCCACACTGTCCACACTTAGTTAGAAAAGTCCACACTGTCCACACTGTCCACACTGTCCACACTTAGATAGAACAGTCCACAGTCCACACTGTCCACAGTTAGTTTGAAAAGTCCACAGTCCACACTGTCCACACTTAGTTAAAACAGTCCACACTGTCCACACTGTCCACACTGTCCACACTTAGTTAGAAAAGTCCAAACAGTCCACACTGTCCACACTTAGATAGAACAGTCCACAGTCCACACTGTCCACACTTAGTTAAAACAGTCCACACTGTCCACACTGTCCACACTTAGTTAGAAAAGTCCACACAGTCCACACTGTCCACACTTAGTTCGAACAGTTCACAGTCCACACTGTCCACAGTTAGTTTGAACAGTCCATAGTCCACACTGTCCACATTAGATAGAAGAGTTCACAGTTCACACTGTCCACGCTTAGTTAGAAAAGTCCACAGTCCACACTGTCCACACTTAGTTAGAAAAGTCCACAGTCCACACTGTCCACACTTAGTTATAAAAGTCCACAGTCCACACTGTCCACACTTAGTTAGAAAAGTCCACACTGTCCACACAGTCCACACTTAGTTATAAAAGTCCACAGTCCACACTGTCCACACTTAGTTAGAAAAGTCCACAGTCCACACTGTCCACACTTAGATAGAACAGTCCACAGTCCACACCATCCACAGTTAGTTTGAAAAGTCCGCAGTCCACACTGTCCACACTTAGATAGAACAGTCCACAGTCCACACCGTCCACAGTTAGTTTGAAAAGTCGACAGTCCACACTGTTCACACTTAGTTAGAAAGGTCCACAGTCCACACTGTCCACACTTAGATAGAAAAGTCCACACTGTCCACACTTAGTTAAAAAAGTCCACAGTCCGCACTGTCCACACTTAGATAGAAGTGTCCACACTGTCCACACTTAGTTAGAAAAGTCCACACTGTCCACACTTAGTTAAAAAAGTCTACAGTCCACACTGTCCACACTTAGATAAAACAGTCCACAGTCCACACTTAGTTAGAAAAGTCCACACTGTCCACACTATCCACACTTAGTTAAAAAATTCCACAGTCCACGCTGTCCACACTTAGATAGAAGAGTCCACAGTCCACACTGTCCACACTTAGATAGAAGAGTCGACACTGTCCACACTTAGTTAGAAAAGTCCACACTGTCCACACTGTCCAGACTTAGTTAAAAAGTCCACAGTCCACACTGTCCACACTTAGATAGAAGAGTCCACAGTCCACACTGTCCACACTTAGATAGAACAGTCCACACCGTCCACAGTTAGTTTGAAAAGTCCACAGTCCACACTGTCCACACTTAGATAGAACAGTCCACAGTCCACACCGTCCACAGTTAGTTTGAAAAGTCCACAGTCCACACTGTCCACACTTGGTTAGAACAGTCCACAGTCCACACTCCACAGTTAGTTTGAAAAGTCCACAGTCCACACTGTCCACACTCAGTTAGAAAAGTCCACAGTCCACACTGTCCACACTTAGATAGAACAGTCCACACTGTCCACACTTAGCTTGAAAAGTCCACACTGTCCACACTGTCCACACTTAGTTAAAAAAGTCCACAGTCCACACTGTCGACACTTAGATAGAAGAGTCCACACTGTCCACACTTAGTTAGAAAAGTCCACAGTCCACACTGTCCACACTTAGATAGAACAGTCCACAGTCCACACCGTCCACAGTTAGTTTGAAAAGTCCACAGTCCACACTGTCCACACTTAGTTAGAAAAGTCCACACAGTCCACACTGTCCACACTTAGATAGAACAGTCCACAGTCCACACTGTCCACAGTTAGTTTGAAAAGTCCACAGTCCACACTGTCCACACTTAGTTAGAAAATCCACATTCCACACTGTCCACACTTAGTTAAAACTGTCCACACTTTCCACACTGTCCACACTTAGTTAGAAAAGTCCACACAGTCCACACTGTCCACACTTAGATAGAACAGTCCACAGTCCACACCGTCCACAGTTAGTTTGAAAAGTCCACAGTCCACACTGTCCACACTTAGATAGAACAGTCCACACTGTCCACACTTAGTTAGAAAAGTCCACACTGTCCACACTGTCCACACTTAGTTAAAAAAGTCCACAGTCCACACTGTCGACACTTAGATAGAAAAGTCCACAGTCCACACTGTCCACACTTAGATAGAACAGTCCACAGTCCACACCGTCCACAGTTAGTTTGAAAAGTCCACAGTCCACACTGTCCACACTCAGTTAGAAAAGTCCACAGTCCACACTGTCCACACTTAGATAGAACAGTCCACACTGTCCACACTTAGCTTGAAAAGTCCACACTGTCCACACTGTCCACACTTAGTTAAAAAAGTCCACAGTCCACACTGTCGACACTTAGATAGAAGAGTCCACACTGTCCACACTTAGTTAGAAAAGTCCACAGTCCACACTGTCCACACTTAGATAGAACAGTCCACAGTCCACACCGTCCACAGTTA